CTTTAACCCAATCAATTGTAAGAAAACATTTGGGCCACTAATTTTTGGCCCATCTTCTTGCTTTTTGAGCCATTTACTTTAAAAACCAAACCAATTGTTAAGCAACATTTGGGCCAGTAATTCTTGGCCCATATGTTTGCTTGTTGGGCCATTTACTTTAAAATCCAATCCAATTCTTACGCTACATTTGGGCCACTAATTCTTGGCTCATCTGCTTGCTCGTTGGGCCATTTACTTCAAAACCCAATCCAATTGTTAGGCAACAGTTGGGCCACTAATTCTTGGCCCATCTGCTTGCTTGTCGTTTAGGGTTGCTACAAATCTAGAAGAATTTAGATAAATTATCATAAAAATAAAACCTAAAAACATAATTGTAAATAAATATATAAAAAAAAAAAAACAAGTTCATGAGATTTTCGGAAATATTTTGTTTGCAGAATTAAACATAATATATAGCTTTGATCCTACTACATCATAGAATATTAAATCTTCCATGAAACATAGTCTAAAACCATATAGAAATATAACCTAAAGTTAAAATGTAATCAATTTATATATTTACGCGTGTGCATAAGAACAATCTAAACAGTAATTTGAAGAGTGATCACAGATTCAAACGCCCAGAAATTTTGTTCTAATCCGCCATTGCCAATCATTCGAACTTTCAAGAGCAAGGCTTTGAGATCTAATCATATTCAGAATGGCCCAACATATCATAGTTGCAAGTGAAGTCACACCCACAGATCAAATCAATTACAACTTGGCCAAGAATTTCTGTCAAGGATTTATGATGAAGATGACATTTGTATAGATATACAGGCAATGTTGAACATTATTTATGGCTTACCCTTTACCTCCTTCCGCCGCCTCCTTGGAACAGCTTGGTGATCTGAGCCTCCACATCCTCCGCCGTGTACACCAAATGCCGGTCTGTACGCTTCGACAACTCCGACAAACTCTGGTACCTTTTGATGAAGTTTTGATATGCAGGCATTAGGATTTTGGTAACTGAGATTTTTGCTTCTTCTCTAAGCTGATTCTCGAATATCACCCATGTAGATTGGGTTTGGCAGATTTCTTCGAACTGTATGTTGAATGATTTCAGCTTCTCTTTCATTACAGCCGGAGCTATGGAGCCACTGTCAATTTTCAATACTCCGACCACCTTGCTCCATGAACTTTTCAGGAAATTTCCGAGGTATTGCCGGCTTTTAACCGAGTGCTTTCGAATCCAATCGTCCCCTAAAACTGATCCTAATTCGCTGTCTTTCACTTTCTGAACAATGTATCGGCCATTGTTCATCAGAAACACAGAGCTTAAGGAAAGATCATTGTATATCTTCGACTTTGCCTCTAAATTGCTCTCTAAAAGCTCCATAATCCAGTCCATTTGAACTGATAATGAAGACGATGCTGTTGCTCTGTCATCGAGTTTGGTGTAATCCTTCGAAGGAAGAGCGGCTTCTTCGAAAATTTGCTCCAAAGTCTGCCGTGATTTACAGGCTGCTTTAAGGTAATTCATCACATACCGAGTAATTGGATGAAGGCCGCCCCCCGGAACTGGAGTTCTAGCCGGATCACGACGGATCAAATTCTCGAGCTCCATGAAGATCCCCTTGATTGTTCCGCCTAACCTTTTCCAGATTGCGATTGCTTCGTTTCTAAGTAACAAGCAGTACTGATCCGAAAATACTGAATCGAAATCCAGCATCAAGTCTCTCAAGGTCTCGAACATGTCGAGGATTTTGAACAGCCGTTCCGGGGCTCGCGAGCCGATCGCGACCGCATCTGCAAAATTCAGTAGCTGAATTGTTGATCCTCGGCAGACCTCCATGAAAGAGAGATCAGCAGCGGAGGAGAGGCCGACGAAGACTCGTTCGCAGAGCCGTCGTTCGCTTGGGAAGAGGATTCGAAGGGAGACGGTAATCGCTTTCATCCAGCGCTCAATCTCCTCTTCCATGTCTTGCCATTGCATCTTTTGAACTTCATCGATGCTAAGCTTCTGTAACCCCAACCTAGAAAGACTCTCCTCTAAGAACTCCCTCCTGCAGCTACTGTAAGCGTGCGAACACTCCTTCTCGTACCCAGCCGCCACCATACGCTTCGCTATCTCATGGAGATCGCTGATAGTCCCCGACGGAAGCGCATCGATTACGACGTTGTAGTCTGTCAACGGCTGCGCCACCGGGATCTGGAGGCCGTCACCAAGAATTCCTTCCGCACCTTCCTCATCTTCCTCAGAATCGAAGAAAAACTCGCCCGTTGACTCACGGTTCCTGAAATGGCGAGTTAGTTCAAAAGACTCACCTCCACGCTCCATCAACGACCGGAACTCTTCACTTACACGAAACATCGCCTGCTGCATCAGATCGTCGGCGTGAGCAAGGTAGGTACCAACAGACTTATCCCTAGCCATCGGCGTCCAGTCCCTAATGGTATCAATCAACTCATCAATAGCGTCAAGAAAAGCAGAGGAATCGGCGGAATCCGCCCAAATCGGCTGGTCAGCCGCCAAGTATTGGGAGATCCGGCGGTCCAAAGACTTGAGAGAGCGCTGCAAAGCGACAGAGCTTCTGGGATCAACCTCATCGGATTTATCAGAGAGCTTGTCAAGGGAAAACCTAGCATCGAAATTGGAAAAAATCTGGAGAATATCATCGGCCATGGACTCGTTGCGGCCCATAGTCTTGGCTATGTGGCGAGCCATAGCCAGCAATTTTTCCTCGCCGTTGTCAACCATTGAGAAAAGAAAAGGGTTTTCAGAGACAAATCAAAAGAACAGAAGGAGAAGATGAAGAAAATGGGACCGGGGAAGAATCAAAGGAGGAGAGAAGACATTGGAAATGGAGCAGTGGGCCGAAGGAAACTGGAAATCGGAAACGGCGAGAGAGAGAGAGAGAAGAAGAAGGTGAGGAAATTGAGGAAGCTATTGGAAATTGAATTTGGTTCAAGAAAATGAGAGGAAAAGTATTTTCTCACTTCTTTTTCTATATCAATACAAATAAATAAGGCCAAAACCATAAGTACCATCTTTTAAACCTATTTTCGTTCGACTCGACCATACCTAAACTCGACTCCTCTTCTCTCGAAAAAAATTATTAAAACTATATAATTTGTTTAGTTAACGAGAGAGAATTGTACTTTAAATCCGTTGGGCAAACTTTCATATCCATAAAACTCTCACGAGATGCTGGTGGGGATATGTCCTAAACAATGTGAGAAATCCCGTCTCTTTGTTAGCTAAATGAGAACATGAATTGCCCGTCTAATCCCACCTTACTTTCGTTTTTGTCGAGACATTTTGTTTCTTGAAATTTGAACGAGAGGGGGTCATTCGTCAATGGTATTTTAATTCAAGAGATCTCTTCATAATCACCCCACTTAATCCCGTGTTCTCTAAGAAATTTAAATAAACATGAGTTATTTCAACTTGATTTATCTAGAAAAATTTATAAGAAGTCATTTAACACAGAGTTGCTTTCATGTTTAGCTTTAGAGTTTTTGTGATTGAGCCATCGAAAAGGAATGTGCACATTGTTGGTAAAGATAGTAACTTTCATTTTCTTTTAAGCCATTATCACATCCTCAGGATCACTCTTCATTTGAATGTTGTTTTGGTTCATTCATGCATCTCTAACAGTAAATGTGATATTAGTATGATTATCTTATAAAAAATAAATCTTCAAACTTCATTAATAGCTACAAATCATCCTTTAATTAGTAATGACAAATTTTCATCTAATTCCATCTCGAAAGAAATGTAAAAGCAGGTGTTTAGAGATCGAGATATTCAACGTTTTTTTGTTGTAAATTTGGGTTGGAAGTAAAGTGGAAGAGGAGGTATGGTCAAAGTTTGAAGTACACAAAGAATGAGAGTTGGTTGGAGAGAATCAAAGGGGGAGAGAAAATGAAAGGACAATTCAAAGACAGATAAAGAGACATTCAAAGGGAAGGAAGGAAGGAAGGAAGGAAGTTCTAATGCCTATGGGAATAAATATAAGGAACCCATATCACTTTTTGGTGTTCTTTTTCAGACTGCATCATCATTACCTTACCTTTTCAATTCAATCAATACAATAATAAATTCACTAATTCAATTACTTCAATATAATTCTCTCAATTACTCTTTTTCTGCCTAATCAACCAGTGAGTTTGAGAAAATCAAAAGCAAAACTACGAGAATTTGCTCAAAATGGACAATATAACACTATTGTGAAGAGTGTTGGATCGTCAACAACGCACACACTTGATCTAGATGAACACAAAGAATATGATAGAGAAAATGCAAGGAGAACATTGACTAAAAGATTTGTATTGATGACGACAGATATGTACAGTGAGAATACATAAAGTTACTATATATTGTTTTACCATATATAATAATCTACTATATATAACTATCTATCATATATAGCTTTACTAGCTTCTTTTTAGTATACATAGCTATTCAATCTATAACCATCTACCATATATAACTATATATATTATATATAATACTAAATATAATAGTACTAAGCTATAAATAAAAATATAGCTTTAATATAGTAGTACTAAGTATAACCGTTGATTAAACTATAAATATAGAGTAGGCTTCATGACCTAATAAAGAGTCGTGATTCCTAATATATACTTCAAAAAATAATATAACGATGGTTAGATTAACTTTAATAGTAAAATAAAAGGCAAACATATTAAAATTAAATAAACGGGAAAGTAATAAATAATTATTAGGAATGGTCAGAAATGGGTCATACGTGACCATTTGTATGTAGAATTTAAAGCAAAGGATAAATGGAAATTTGACCAAAAAAAAAGAAGAAAAGATATTTATTAAAATTAAATAATACCCATATTTAAGGGGCAGTTGGGGGAAAAGTTTGGCATTATTGATTGGGGCACCCAAGAAAATGGCATTGGGATATGGTCAAAAGAACGACTTGTCGTTTTCAAACTGCAGAGAACGACAGAAGAAAATGTGTGGCCAAAATAAACAAATCTGCTTAACTCAGAAGTTTCAAGTTCCTAGGATTAAGACAAAGAAGAAGAAAAGATGAATTTACAATAGATCATCAAACCTCAGTTTTCACATGAACTTCATCAGCAGCTCAGTGTGTGAATCATTCATTTCGTGAGGACACCAACAGCTTGGGGAATGAGATGCTGAAAAAATCCCTCCTCCCCAACTGTTCTTCCTCTTTTATGTTTTGTTACCTTAACAATGAATCTTGTGGGACCAAAAATAGAACAAAGAAAGAAAAAATAATCTTCTTAAGCCACAAAAACTTCAATTGTTCTCCTTTGAATAGCTGCTCGTCTCCTCTGCTACCTTTGCCCATACGTGCGACATTTTCTCTGCATATCCGACCTATTCAACAAAGACTTGAACATTTATTGTCGAGGATGATGAATGAATAATTTCATTCTCGTATTCATTTAAATCGATCCTTCACAAAGACCATGGAATCTAGCTTAAGAGGAATCAGAGAATTCATAGTAAAACGTACTGTCCTTTCTTTCTTGAAATTTGTGAATGTCTAGGCTAACTTATATCCACCTTGACTAATCTCACGAGATAGCCGTCTTAACTCTACTACATTTAGTTAACAAAGTAACTCATAAAGAATTAAATACTATGGTGGGTTTGTTCACCTAGTTTTTCTTTTTTTTTTTTAACGAACGATTCTGTTCACATATTCATATCAATTCCAACAGAAGTCACAAATTCTACCTCTTTTCATGTTCTTATTCTCACGAAATCCAAACCCCACTTCGACTAATCTATTCGGACCCTGGAAACTAAAAAAAGCCTTCGTATGTAAACTTACAGAACTATTCTTCAGCACCAAGTTCAAAAGATGAAAGAATATGTACTTTCAAAATATTTGACAGCATTGTTTTCTCTTACTGAACGAGTCTGAACTGCCATTACTTGATAAAGGTGTGTAAAAAATCAGTTCATGCAATCATACAGAGCAAAATGAATTATGGATAAAGAAGACCTGAGCATCATCTATTAGATAGGACGGTAAGTACCTGATTTGTTACAAACCCTTTCATCATATTCAAGAAGTCGGCTTGTCTCTCTCTGTCAAATCTTTCCAGCTCGCTCCTATTGTTTTCCTGAATTACAAACATTGTCATCAGGCCATGCTTATTTTAAGCGTAAAAAATGACTGAGAAACCCAAGCAAGTAAGAAAGGCATAGAAGAATTAGCATTGTTTTATTAACAAATTATGATAACTGAGTCAAGAATTTGGTAAGTTGATCTGTACAACATTCAGTGCCTTCTTCTCAGGCCTTTACTCACAAACATATCCAACATGATGATAATAATTGATTTATGAGAAAAGGCATCAGGAACAAACATGAAGACGGTTCTTCTAGACCCGACACCTTGAAAAAAGCATTATGCTGTTCGGATAGAAGGGAAAAAAATCCCACAGCTTGATATCTCACATCAGATAAGCAACAAAGTAAAACTTGTTCCCAGCTATGAATCATCATCATTAAGAGCGAATTTTTTCCCCTTTGACTAAAAGTGGAATTACTTGAGTCAACTTATGCGTACCTAGCAGTTAAATACTAGCTACCATGGTTTTGCCCAACCTCAAAGACATCTGAATTTACACCTTGCCCCTTCGACTATTGACCAACTCATGATTGTTTAGTTTAAGTTTCCTCAAAGATCCCTAAGCCATTTTCATATCTTTTGACATCACTCTTAAAGCACAGTCTCATGACATCTAATATGACTCAAACAGATATTCAATCTCCTACGGGCTCCAAGAATTAGTCTGTAAAGGTATTCCCTTCCAATATAGTGTATCTAGAGGAAATAAAATTTACCCCAAGGGAATACATACTGCCAGTCAATTAGAAAGGACTGGTAAACTCTCTTTTTCCTCACTCAAGCCAAATTACTCATGAAAAGCATAAGAAGAAAAGAAACAACTGAAACCACAGTCTAAATGCCCTACACCCCTCAATTCTCCCACAATCCTTCCACCTTAAGTGGTCCCTATATAAAACGTTCTCTAACTAACTGATCAGAGGTGTATTGACAGCCTTGCCCCTTCTCTGATAATATTTCGTAAAGGGGGTCCTAACATCACTCCTCAGCTGCAATAAAACCTTGTCCTCAAGGGTTAAAACTCAAAAATTGCTTCTGAACTTCGCTGACAACTTCCCAAGTAGCTTCATCTTTTGGTAACCCTTTCCGGCTAACTAAAATTTCCTCTAATCCTGTCTGGTCATTAGTGTGAACGGCAGATACTTGATTGGGCTCAGAAATCCATTCAAATTCGTCATTGAGTAATGGCAGGTCATAGTGCTTCCTGATGAACTCCCCAAACTTTCTTCAATTGTGAGATGTGAAAAAGAGGATGGGCGTTTGCTTCTTTTGGTATCCGTAACTTGTAGGCCATGGACCCAAATCTTCTGTTCCACGTAACAAGGCCCAAAGTACTTAGGTGTTAACTTCACGTTCTGACGTTTAGCTAACAATGCTTGTCTATAGGATCAATTTTTTAAGAACACCCAATCCCTAACCTCCAAACTCAGTTCCATATGCTTTCGATCAACAATCTTTTTCATTTGGTCTCATGAAGCTCTTAAATGGTTCTTCAGCACGTCTAGAGCTAAGGTTACCTTCGAGTCTTACTTTCAACATAAGAAAGTAATGGTAGAGGTGGAGAGTTATACACAGCTTGAAACAGAGTGATCCCAATGGAGATATGAAGGGTTGTATTATACCTAAATTCTGCCTAGCTTAACCATGTGAACCGCTGATTTGGCCTTTCCCCACAGAAGAAACGGGTGCTTACAGGCAGTAAAGTAGGCTGCTTTACTCAATGGATCCACCACTACTAATATCACATCCATCCAAGTTGATTTTGGCAATCCCTCCCATGGACATCACCTCCTGTGTCAAAGTCCCCTCTCCCCTCACGTATTCCCCCTTCCTCTACAAATTTTGACTCTTCCCGATTGACAAGGACCACCATAGTTCGCAATTTCTTCATCTTCACTTTGTGCCCAACAATATATTTTTCCTCACAAGAAACACAAATGCCTCTCCTTCCTTGATCGGAATTTGGCATCAGACAACCACTTCGCCAACCCTTCTCTTCATGGCACTACAACATTGTTACTAGACAAAGTAATCATACACATGGGAACCATGTCCGACAACTTCGTGCCCTCTTTCCCTCCACACATGTGCATTATGGAGTTTGAGATGAGCTTTTTCCTCCATCGATCCTTCTCTTCATGGCAGTACAACATTGTTACTAGACAACATAATCATACACATGGGAACAACGTCCGACGATTTCGTGCCCTTTTTCCCTCCACACATGTGCATTATGGAGTTTGAGATGGGTTTTTCCCTCCATACAAATTGGACCTTAAAGCTTCAAGCGTAGCTTGTACTCTATCCTCAAGTAACAGTGATGTCTTAATCATATTAGCTAGCCCAATCGGCTGCCAACACATCAAGTCAGCTTTAATCATTGGATCTAGTTCCTATCCTACAACATACAACAATACTCTGGATAATAAGAGCAGTGGATCATTCAAACCAAGGTGAGAATTTTCCATCACATACATCTCACTATCACGTACTACAGTTTAAAAACATATTAATGGAAACAAGGTTTGATGGGAAGGCACCTTTATGCGCTCGTATTCACGCATTGCAACATTTTTAGCATCCTCTGTAGTTCTTATGGATTCTTTTAACTGCTCTAACTTCTGAATCCTTGCTATGTCACCACCAAATACTTTAGATGATGCAGCTTCAAGCTTTTCGGCCCTTGATTTCAAAGAGGACAAGTCAGACAATAGAGTTTGCTCGGTCAGTAAAGCACTTGAGCGTTCTGAGAATGCACCATGAACTGCTAGCATTAACCCCAAATAGTCGTGAAGAACATCCTGAAAATATATAAATAAATAATTATAAGACTCTGATGAAATGCAAGAGTGTTGTGTTAGCTGCTATTATTCTATCAGTACATGAACAACTATGATGTTCATAGTCCACATACATAAATAATAAACTGAAGAGTGTATGGTGGGTTTGAGCTTCTTCTGCAATACTAACCAACCCAATTTATTCTTTAAAAGCCATTTTCAAAATAACTTGATCAAATTGCAATATTTCAGATATAATTTTTGAGGAAGATTAAAAATTTACCAAATGTTCCACAGTTTGAGCATTTAGTTCCCGATAGCATCGGCTTGCTTTAACAGCAGCAGTTGCTACATTTTTCGTATCGGCAGCACGAACTCTTTGACAGTTGAATACAGCCTCCTCATGTTCAAATTTTGTCAACTTAATCAAGGTCAAACCTAACTCTCCTAATGTTTCTGCCATATCTTGCTGAGCTTTAACCAATAATTCAGCCTGATATAAGTTTTACCACAATTAAGACGAAGAGAAAATAGCAAACACATTCTCAAAGGAAGTTTGGTTAATGATAAAGTATAACACGTATGTCACCTGCTGAGATGCAGCACTGAGCTGCCGCTCCAAATCACGCAACTTTTCTTTCTTTTCCAAGAATTTCTTATCCTCCTCAATGACTGCAGGCTTTGAACTTCCCCAGTCATTCGTCACAGATTGCTTCAACTCCTTGAACAATCTTAACAAATCCCTTCCACCTTTCGCAGGCTGTACCACCTCCTGAGGTGTCATTGCGCTCTCACCGAACAACTGCTTCGGGAGTTTCACTGCACCATCAAGCATCCTAGATGCAACATCAGTTGTCGTTGGCAGTGGCAATCTCCCTTGAACCTGCAAGAACACCTTAAACTCATCGCTCTTCCTGATCACTGGATGCCCCGCTAGTTTCCTCAAGTACTTCTCTAGTGCCATCCTCCTCTGCTCCACAAATTCTTGCTTGTGCATCACTTGGCCTTCCACCACACTCTTATCCGGGCGTGGGGGTATAAAGAACCCTCTATAAGACTCCGCCAATCGTTCTGATAGCGTCACCACATCCTTAAACCTCCTTCGAACACTAAATTCTGATCCCCCAAACTCCGCCATGTTAGTCCTGGTAGTGATCAGATAAGTTATGTACGAATTACCACCAGGCACTATCGAGTTCGAAACATCTTGCTCTTTCTGAGGATTCGAGACTGTAATTTGTATATATTCCGAGTTTGAAGACGAAGATCTGGATAAACCCCCAGAGCTCTCCGAACTCTTGCTGGGGCTTTCAACGCCATTAACATCACTAAAATTATTCCCATCAAACGAGACAGAATTCACATCAGAAAAGTGAAATGGCTCGGAGAATAAACGATCGGACGCTTTAGGGTTTCGGAGATCTCGATCTATCGTCGGAGCAAGCAGGGGATCCGAATCAGCCGGTGTAAGAATGGTCGGCAGGGACAAAGGATGATGCGTTTCTGAGAGCGAGGACATGGCACTACGATAATTAGAGAAAGATTTGGAGCTTAATTGCTCCTTGACAACCAAATTTTCCATCTGGTCACGAGTGGAATACAACTGGGCTTCTTCAAAGCCCTGGTTCTCAGAATCCATCATCATATTATCCAATCCGCAAAACAAAAACCGGTGAAACAACAGAAGAATTCAAGAATTACCACCACTAGGTTGATCAGTTCAACAATCTACAAAACGAAGAAACACTCTAGGGTTCAATTCGACCGTTTGGAGAGAAACAAAAATCTTCGAAAAATTACCAAGAGAAATGCGGAGAGTCCGAAGGGTGTTCAGAGAGCGGTAGCTGAGGAGGCCACCATTCGGCGTGGCTGAGAGAGGTAAGCCGAGGAAGAAGAAGACTGAGCAACACAAGCACGTGGCAAATACAGAAACCCACCCTTCACAGAAATCTCCAGACCTCAAAAAACGGTGACGTTTTGGTGATCTTCTAACGGTTAAGGGTAGTATTGACTTTTCAACAGATTAAGGTTAGTTAACCTCATTTTTATAAATAATTAAAACTAAATAATCACCGTGCAAAGTTCTTGAACAAAATTGTGAAGTTTAACGATGAATTAAAACTATCCAGAAGCCCATGGGCTTGGGCGCCCAACTCTATCCCTTGGGCCCACTAAAAACAAAGCCCATTGTCCGGCCCATTAGTCAAGTTGGAATACCGAATGTGACCCGCATGCGACTGGAGACACGTGTTCCTCCTCTATGTATTTCCAACAAACTCCGCTTATCTAACATTGATCTAAGCATCGAAAAGTATTGGACAATAGCTTTTCTCGACATCGATTCGATGAAACGTATTGGGAAATAGCCTTTCTCGACATCAAGTCGATCCGATCATTGATACAGCATGAAATGAAATGGGCAATAGTTTTTATCTACATCAATTCAATCTCGTTAATCTAAGCATTGAAACGTGTTAGCCAATAGCTTTTTTCGACCTTCAATTCGATCTATCATTGATCTAAACATGAAAACGTGTTGGGAAATAGCTTTTCTTGACATTAATTCGATCGAACCATTGATTTAAGCATTGAAACGTATTGGGCAATAACTTTTCTCAACCTCAATTCAATCTAACGGTTGATTTAAGCATCAAAATATGTTGGGCACAGTACCACATTGGTGTAAGTTATTCCTTACGACAGATAGTTTAATACTGAAACAATGAACAGATAAGATCGTGTTGGTAAAAATTTTAAAGTATAGTTTCTTTTATTAACGTTTTAAATTAAATTAAAATTGATAATTAAGACTCGGTTAGATAATTATTTATTTGATATTTATTTTTCATTTTCAAAAATTAATCTTAAAAGAATAATAAAGATAATCAGATTGTCAACGGGCAGGCCAACTAATTTGATATCAAATCATGACAAAACAGACTTCCCATTGACCTAATCCATTTCAACAGTTGAAAACATTCCAAAATGTCAACAGATATTTTATATACTTAACCACTACACTCTTCCCAATTAGTGGCTTGATTGATGTTTAAATACACATTAACTACTTCTGACTTTATTATAAACCAAATTAATTATAAATAACGCTTAATAAAAAAAATTAAGCCTAAAATTACTACCGTAACCTCAAACTCACTGTTAGTAGATATTGTCAGTTTCTGTCGATTAAGTATCGTTGTCAATCTCACAATTTTAAAATGCATCTATTAAGGAGAGATTTCCACACTCTTTAAAACACGTCTATCAATGTTTCGTTTCACTCTTCAACTAATGGGAGATCTAACAATCCACTCATCTTAAGAGGCAGCATCCTCGCTCGCACACCGTCCTTTGATCTAATTGAAGAAAAAAAACTATTTTTTTTAGTGTTTTAAATTTTTTTTATCAAATAAAAATAAACCGTGTTAGAAAGTATTTGAGGTACTAATTTACAACTAAGTTTTTTTATTAAATATAATGGTGTACTTGTTCTCGTTCTCGTTTATATTTTCACAAACTAGACATCAAATTAACTTAACCAACTCCTCTCTTTCTAGTCTAGTGGTAATATTGTAGTTCCATCTATTTAACTTTTATTCAAAAATTTAATACCCATAAAGTTATCGTTCTTAGCTCACCGATGTTCTTCGAATGAAGATCTCACAAGTTTCATACTAATAGAGTTATCGTTCGTAGCTCGTCGGAGCTTCTCGAATGAGGATCTCACTAGTTTCATTTATTCTCATGAAACAGAACAGTGAACAGAACAGAGGAAGTGGGTGCAACAAATCCCGATTATGGTTGCACCAAAAAACAACCTTAAATCCTTAGTGTACCAGTTGACTCTCCAAACCTAATTTTCCAACAAATTTGTTGTGTTGTACTATGTTATATTGAGCTCCTTCTTCCCTCGCTTTCTCTGCCTACAAATACCTCCACTCACTCAGCTCCTCCACCACCAAAAAAACAACGGAAAATGGAACATATGTTAAAGACAAAATCTTTGTCTTCTTGCTTCTTGTTAGCCCTTTTGGTCTTGATTCCTTTCGCCATTGCAGAAACTCACTACCATGAATTCATCGTAAGCTTCCAAAATCTACATTTTCGCTCAAAAATTTCACAATTCCTCTGTTTTTCTGACTCTGTTTCGCTGCAAAATGCAGGTTCAACGCAAACCAGTGAAGAGGCTGTGCAAAGTTCATAACATTATAACAGTGAACGGGCAGTTCCCTGGCCCAACTTTAGAAGTAAGAAACGGCGATTCTCTGGTCATCAAAGTCGTTAACGCTGTCCGCTACAATGTCTCTCTCCATTGGTAATTCTTTAAGCAAAACCCGTCTCTGTTTTTTACTGATGCGACGTGTAATGAACTGGTCGTGGGTTTGATATGATTAGGCATGGGATCAAGCAGCTGAGGAACCCATGGGCGGATGGGCCGGAATTTGTAACGCAATGCTCTATAAAGCCAGGGGGTAGCTATACTTACAGATTCACTATTGAAGATCAAGAGGGTACTCTGTGGTGGCATGCGCATAGCCGATGGCTTCGAGCTACTGTTTATGGCGCTCTCATAATTTATCCGAAGATGGGTTCTTATTATCCTTTCTTAATGCCTAAAAGAGAAGCTTCTGTTCTGCTTGGTAATTGTTGTTTGATGTTCTTATGGGTTGGATTAATGCTGAGATTTGACTGTTTGATGGGTGTGAAAAACAGGGGAGTGGTTTGATAGAGATCCGATGAGTGTACTGCGGCAAGCGCTGTTCAGTGGAGCGGCTCCTAATGTGTCTGATGCTTACACCATCAATGGGCAGCCCGGTGATTTCTATAGATGCTCGAAGAAAGGTCGGTGAGAGTGTACTGTTTCATGATGAAAAGATGAAATTCAAATAGATAAAATTGAAATTGTGGAGGTTATTAAATTAGTTTTGATAAAATTATACGATATTTTTGAAATTTTGGATGATACCGTATGGGTTGAGAGAAGAACAAAACACTATTTATAAGAGCGTGAAAACCTGTCAATAACAGTTTTAAAAATCTTGTGAGGGAGAGCTCAAAGGGGATAATATCGTGGGCTTGAGCCGTTACAAATGGTATCAGAGCCAAACATCGGGCGATTTGCCAACTAGAAGGCTGAGCCTTGAAGGAGGGTGAACATGAGGCAGTGTGTCAACCAGGACACTAGATCTCTAAGGAGTGTGAATTTGAAGGGGGGTTCCACATTGATTGGAGAGTCCCGAAGGGAGTGGACACGAGGTAGTGCCAGTGAAGACACTGGACCCTGAAAGGGAATGAATTTGTGGGGTCCCACATCTATTGAAGAATGAAAGAGTGTCAGCGATAATGTTGGACTCCAAAGTGGAGTGAATTGTGAGATGCCACTGTTACAATGGTGCAAAATGTGCGGTTATAAAAGATTTTTCTTTATTTCTAACGCTTATGAAAACAATATTTATTAACGGTGGTGGTGGTGTATGTGAGAGGGGCTTCTTTTTTATTTCAACTTAAAAAGTCAACGGAACAACTTAAAAGTCAACTCAGCAGAAATTAACTTGATTTTGCAGAGACGGTGAGATTCGGAGTGAATTCCGGCGAGACAATCCTTCTCAGAATCGTAAACTCCGGACTGAATCAAGAACTCTTCTTCTCCGTCGCGAACCACCCATTGACAGTGGTCGCCGTCGACGCATCTTACACCAAACCATTCAAAACAAATGTCATCATGATCGGACCCGGCCAAACAACCGACGTCCTCCTCACAGCCAACCAACCTCCAGCCCATTACTACATGGCCGCCACCGCTTACAACACCGCCATGAACGCCGCCTTCGACAACACCACCACCACTGCCATTCTCCAATACAACAACAATTACCAACAACAACAAAAACCCATCCTTGCCCAGCTCCCCTTTTTCAACGACACACCCACCTCCACCCGCTTCACCTCCCAACTCCGCAGCTTAAACAGAGCAAACGTCCCAACCCAAATCGACGAATCCTTACTCTTCACCGTCGGATTAGGCCTCATCAATTGCACCAACCCCAACAGCCCCCGCTGCCAAGGCCCCAACGGCACACGCTTCGCCGCCAGCATCAACAACAACTCCTTCGTGTTCCCCAAATCCAATTCCATTATGCAGGCCTTTTACCAAGGGATTCCCGGCGTTTTCACCACCGATTTCCCCCCTGTTCCGCCCCTCCAATTCGATTACACCGGAAATGTCAGCAGAGGACTATGGCAGCCCGGTCGAGGGACCAAAACTTTCCGGCTAAGATATGGATCGAGTGTGCAGATTGTGCTGCAGGACACCAGCATTGTCACCACGGAAGATCACCCAATGCATCTCCATGGCTACCATTTCTATGTCGTGGGTTCGGGTTTTGGTAATTTCAATAGCGCGACGGACCCGGCGAGGTTCAATCTTGTTGACCCACCGCTCAGGAACACCATTGGAACGCCCCCCGGTGGTTGGGTTGCCATTCGGTTCGTTGCTGATAATCCAGGAGCTTGGTTGATGCATTGCCATATAGACTCGCACCTTGCTTGGGGATTAGCGATGGTTTTTCTTGTTGAAAATGGCGAAGGGGAGATGCAATCTGTTCTTCCTCCTCCACCGGATCTCCCACCTTGTTAAATTTTATGTATTGTTCTTGAATTAAGCAAAAGCTTCAAATCTATGGATCGAAGGTCTGTTTTGACCCACGATTTGAAACAAATGATCCATGAAAATAGTATTCTTACTTATAAATTCATGATCTTCTTCTAAATTACCCAAATGTGGGACAACTCAATAATTCTCAACAATTTTCCTCTCGAACAAAGTACACTTGGAGTTCTCAAACATCCTCCCCCTAATCGAGACTCGACCTTTTCTCTATAGTCCTTGAACAAAATACACTCTTAGTACACGTGAGTC